CCTGTTTCTGGCCAGTTCCTTTGGCCTCTCCAAGGAGCTGCTGCTTTCCTTCCTTTTTTTCGGTACAGCGAAGTGGCATGTGAGTGACAAGGCAATTGCAAAGCATCCTGGGGCCGTGTATGCAGGCAGCAGTGCAGACCTGGCCTCCCAGGCTTACAGGGGATTAAGTTCCCGTGAAGGTTCTGTGCCTGTCCAGCAGCACTTTCGTGCCGGCAGACTTCAGAAGCTGAAACTTTTGCAGCCTCACTGAGCACAAGCACAATGCGTCTGCCGTCGCCCGGTGTGCCCCGAGCCTTGCCGCAAAAGAGTTGGCCGCAACTTCAAGGGGCTGGGTTTTGCAGATAAGGGAAATTGCTACCGGTGCTGTTGTCTGGGGTGTGACACAGGAGAGAACCTACAGGTCTCTTTGTCATGGTCACTGCCACATCCCCAGCCTCTCTAAGCCAGTTAAGCACCGCAGGCAATGGCCAGCTGAGCTCTCTTGCTTGCCCTGGTTTCAGTTGCTGTCGCCCAGCAGGGCTGCAGTGCCACCAAGACGGTGTCTGGAGGTGGCAGTGCCCTTTTGCTTCTTCCCCAGGCTTGCCGCAGAGAAGGCAAAACCCCAAAGCATCAGCATTTGCCTGAAGGCTGCTGAAGTCGGGCTGGCAGGTGCCTGTGCTCAGACTGGCAGGCAGGAGGGCGTGCACTGCCTGCTCCCCCGGGCAAGCTGCCTGCACACCCATGGAGCCAAGGTCTGCTCTTGGTGGGCTTGTGGGTACGGCTGCCCCCAGGAGCCAGCAGCCTGGCCCCAGCCGAACTCTCCAGCCCTGCTGACCAGGGGGTTTAGTCTGAGGAGCCCAAGTTGAGACTGAAAAAAGAGGAAAACATTTCCTGTCTTGTTAATCCAGTATTTGAATTAGAGATAGGCTTGAAGAGGAATCTCATGTCTTTGCAGAGATAAGACCTCAAATGCTCTTGCACCAGAGTTAATGCTGCTCTGAAGCAGGAGAAAGACCTGAAAGGGGAAATGTCCCACCCACTGTCCCGACAGCATTGGGAGACAGCACTGAGCTGCCCTGACTCTGCTGCAGGTCCAGCCCAGGACACGTACTGGAGCTGCTGGGGACACTGGAGACAGCGGCCTGCATCGGACACCCTCATAATCGGGCAGGGAGTTGGAGCTAACCCCCGTGTCACCTCCTCATCCCGCTCTGCCATGCCATTGCCCCCGGAAGGGCAAAGATCTGGGACTTTGCAGAGGGACAGGGAGCTGGACCAGCACCCAGTTGGGTGCAGTCCCCACAGCCCCTGCGAGCTCTTCCATTTGCAGCCCCAGGAGACAGGGATGCTGACCAAGGAGCCACCAGAAGCTCTCAGACTGATTTGCTTACATGGGGTTTCCAGGAGAAGGCATAGCACAGGCTGGGGGGTCAGCTGACCCCTCCTCACCTGCAGTGCTGGGGGAGAGGCCCCACTGGCACTTGTCTGGAACAATTTAGGTGCAGCCAAGGCTTCCTGGGACAGGAGAGTTGGCGAGGTGACCTCTGGACATCCTTGACTGCCGGTTTGGAGACTGTCCCTCATGCTTTCTTGCTGCTGCCAGCTCCGCCGCGGTGGATGTGGATGGTGGGGCCGGCAGCAGGGCAGTGCAGCCGCGGTGGGTGCAGAGCCCTCCTGCTCTCCAGGCTGTCCCCGGCCACACATGACATGGCTGCTGCTGGATCTGGCCAGCCTTGGTGCGGACACGAAATGAGTACATACCCTTGGTGTGAGGGTCCCTGCCAGCCTCCCAGGGCAGCCCCAGCTCCCACCGTGCAAGTTAAAAACCCTCGCATTGGGGAAGGGCTGTCTGAGCTCAGCAGTAACTGAATAAAAACGTGAATGCCCCATCCTGCCAGCAAGCAAAGCCTCCGCAGAGGTGAAGCTCCTTGCAACATGCAAGCGAGCATCAGCTGCTTCTTCATCCTGTAATTGCAATTGTGTTTCTGCTAGGGCCGAGTTCAGAGTTGGTTCATGCTTTAAATAAAGCCGAGCAGGGAGGACATCTCTGAACGGAGGCCATTCTCCCAAATGCCGTCCACCGTTTAGCTTTGGCTTTCAGGTGCAGCTGCCCATACAGTGCTGCTGTGGGCACTCCTGCTGCTGGAGAGGATTGTCCAGGCTTGGGCTCCTGCTCCCGCATCCGTCTTCCTGCAGCAGGGATCCGTCAGGCAAGTCACAAGGAGCTGCCGGCAGCTTTCTGGTCGCGACCACACTGCACTGCGTGCAGGCCAGGTGTCTGGGCTGGAGGATGCCTCCGAATTTTTGAGCATGTCTCCATGGGTGTTTGCTGGCTGCACACCAAGAACCCATGGCTGATCTTCCTACAAACTCCTGAGTAAAATTAGAACAAAAGTTCACTCCTCTCCCAAGGCAGCAGGAAATGCAAAGGGTGGGAAAAAGGGAAAGTCGGAGCAGATGAGGTCCCATGCCCACAGGCAGCCTCCCCATTGCCACTGCCACCCTCTGCCTGGGCTGGCTGGAGCTGCAGCTTGGTACTGGGGTGCTCTGCTGGGTGCCAGAGGAGGAAGGGGATTGATGCAGGCAGGGCTGAGTTTTTGGGTGCTCCTGACCAGTCCTAGCCAGGAAGATGAGAGCATCCGCTGCCAGCTCACTGCCTGTGGACGGCTGCACATAGCATGATGGTGCCGGGGCACTTCTGCCTCTGGGGTGCCCAGAGAGGGCATCTCAGCAATGTTAGATTGCAGGGGTTTATTTTTACCCAGCCCTATTGCCAATGGGGACATGTCACATCTGTGGAGTTGATCAAAGGACATCTCGAGTACTGGTGTCAGCTGCTCCTTGTGATCTCAGCACCAGGATCTTTTCCCTTGTGGCATATCAAAAGAAGCAGGAGAATTTGACTGCTTTGCTATTTTTAATTGAACGCACACACACAGACACACACACATATATATGTGTATGTACGGCTTTTCTAAAAATAAAGGCCTTTGCTTGTGTTCCCATGGGAAAATTTGGGGAGAAGGGAGAGCCAAAGTTGTCACAAGATGTTTTCTGGAGCAGGGGCGAGAGCAGGGACAAGCCACAGCAGGTAAGGGACACAGCTAAAGGGCCAAAGGACACCTGGTCCTGAACAGCAGAGCTGGGGGAAAGGTGACATCTGTGTCCCCCAGTGCTGGCAGCAGTGAGGACAGGGACCCTTGACCTGCTACACATGCTCTGACTACCTGGGGAGCAAAGGTTTTTGCAGGGCAGGTTTGAAGAGCCCCAGCCTTGGGGGCCCACAGGGAGAATCTGGGTCTCAGAGCCATTCAGGGCTTTGCATAGACTTTTTTTTGTGCCCAGTATACGTGGTGGTACCACGCTCGTGGTTGGCTGCCTCATACCCCTCCCTCCAGCCCCCTGCAGTGCTTTCCCAGCGCCAGGGGCATGGGACAGCATCAGCAGCTCCCTGCAGTCCCCAGCCCTTCTGCGGCCCTGGGCACAGCCAGGCTGGCAGTCCCCTGCCAGGACATGGCACTGGTTTACTATTGGGCTGTGAAGCTGCTCTACCCTACCCTCGCTGTGTCCTCCAAACCACTCGCCTGTTCTTCCACTGCCCCTGGAGCAGGACAGGGTGGAAAGCAGGTGAAAAATGCAAAATGGGAGTGGGTGTGTGCACAGGAGTGTCCTTTGGTGTGTGGCACAGGGTGTCCTAAGCCCAGTGGTAAGCACAGCACACAGGCTCTTCAGCCTATGAGAACAAAATCAATAATACTAAGGTTATACTAATTTGAAAACAAAAAATGAAGACAAAGAGAGAAATGCTGCCTTTTCCATTCCCGCAGTCCGGTTTGAAGCGCCTTTTCCTTCTCGTTGAGTGTTGGAGGAGACCCTTCCAGGGCACTTCAGGAGTGGAGGCCCCCATGTTCTGCCCCTGCAGCCTCTCTCACGTGCTCAGATGTTTGCCTGCTCCAAAATCCATTTGCTCTGTAAATAAACTTGCTTCCGTCATCGCCAGAAAACTCCCCCTGGGCAGCCAATACTGGGAGGAGTCGCACCAGACCTTTCCCCTCTGTGTTTGAACCTGGACGTTGGGGTCCAAAACCGAGCATGAGTGGAGGGTTCGGTGCAGGCAGGGCTGTGCCAGTGCCGCCCTCGCTCCCACGGGTTCTGGATGCAGCCGCAGGGCTTTGAGGCTGGGCATTGACTGGGAGCCAGGCAGAAGTGGGGCAGGTCCTGGCTGGTGTCTGTGCTTAAATGGAGAGTTTTAGTTCAGTTCCTAGAGCTCATATTGCCCTGTGTGCACCCGGACATCGATTCATTTCCATGCTGTTTTCATCATCCTGCGTGTGTGATGGGGGGCACAGGCTCTGCATTATCTTGGCAGTGCCCTGGGATGCGCAGGATGCGCAGAGTGACCGTCCCTGAGTGTTTCAGTGCCACGTGGCAGGGACAGGGTACGGAGCAGCCACGCTGGCCGGGTGTAAGGCCACCCACCGGAGCCTGGCCCCATGCATTGCTGCCTCATGTGTGCCCGAGTCTCTTGCCTTGCTCTGTTTGGCACTGGTCCCAGGGCAGCTGCATAACCCTGGATGTCACCCATGGGGCACAAAAGGCAAGAATGGCTTCAGCTTCCCCTCAGAGCACCAGCAGCTGCTTTGCCACAATCCAGGTGGCTGTGCTGTGCTGTGCCATGAGCTTCTGCTCACTCAAGGCTCTTCTAATGCTGTTTTAATTTATGCCACAGTGCAGGACACAAGGACAGGGTTGGTGGCACTTGTGGGGTGGCTTTCAGTAACCAGCAGTGACAGCACCGGGCTATGCAAACCAATTTTCAAGATACATGATGGAGAGGTGCTCTCTGCACTGCTGTGATTGCTTCTGGAGCCCCTTGCCAAAGCTTATTCGGAAGAGGGTCTGAGTAATGGGCTCAAGCAGAGGTGACAGCACACAGGAGAGCGGCCAATGCCGCCAGTGGTTGCTGGTGCCTGTTGCTGCTGTGGCGGCGGACTCACCCCCTTTTTCTCATCTCTCCCCAGTACGAGGTGTCTGGTGAGGCACACCTCTACTCCGACTTCCCTGAGATTGATTTGTCCCAGCTGGATGCCAGTGACTTCGACTCGGCCACCTGCTTCAGCGAGCTGCAGTGGTGTGGGGAGCACTCGGAGACCGACTCCAGCCAGTACAGCACCACAGATGACTCCGAGCTCTTCCAGGTACCCCCATCCTTCCAGCACAGGGAACCTGAGGATGGAGGCAGGGGGAGGCAGGAGGGGACCCACACAACTATTAATAGCTCCTCCCCAGCTGATTAGCGTTCCATTAATTTGTGTGACTGCTCTAAATGGAGCAAGTAGAGTAAGGCTAATGAGAAGGTGGAGGAGCAGAGGAGGGCTGCTGAGCCAACCCTCTTGTGATGTATTATTAAAAGGGAATTATAGCTGGTGCACAGCACGTCCCGTTCCATTCCCAGGATGGCAGGGCATGCTAAGGCGGCAGCGTGGGGGTCTCAGGGCTGTGGTGTGGGACAGGTATGTTCATTTCCCAAGAGCAGAAAGCAGCCTCTCTGCTCTCCAGCTCTGGCATACTCACTGTGTTTGGGGCTAGGTCCCCTGGGCGGGTTTATGGTGGGTGACCAGTTTCTCTCCTTGCCTTTGCCCCATCACTTTGCTAGCACCTGGGACCCCATGATGCAAAGCGGTGCCAAGGGAGAGGATGCTCCTGGGCACAGGTAGGGCTGGTCCTTATCCCTCAGCACGTTTTTGTCTCTCCTTGCAGAAGAGCTGAGGATACTGTGGAGCTGTGGCTCTGTGGCAGGGCTGTGAGCACAGCACAGGAAGGTTGGAGGCCGGGAGTGGTGGAGGCTGCCTGGGGACTGGGTGCACTTGCCTTTCCCAAAGGTCACACTGTGCCCTGGATGTGCCCCATCCTTGGGGGCTGGGATCTCTGTGCCTTCCTGAGCAGCCCCCAGGCCCTTACCTGTATGGACAAGGAAGCTGCAACCCACTGCTGCCTGCTAGTCACCAACTCAGGGTTACATTTTGGGAGGGAGGAGGATTTGTATTTAAACAGAGGAAGGGGGAAAAAAAAGCCCAAATATTTTCAAACCTGGCCATAATAACAACTCTCTGGCATTTATGCTGTGCTGATGCTGTGCTTGAAAATGGTCCAGTCCAGCTGAGGGACTTTCATCACGAGATGCATATTTTCCGCTGAACTTCCTGGGGAAAAGATAAACAGAAAAGAAATGCAAAAGACAGACCCATTAGGAGTAGCAGAGTATGATGAAATGTATCCCACTGAACTTGTATGCACAGCGGTCTCGTGCCAATAACATGAGGAAAAGAAATGGAGCCAAAAATGGAGCATCCTGCTGCCTTTCCCTGGAGCCTGCTCTTGTAACGGCAAGCAAGGCTAGGGCATGGAACAAAAGATATTTTAATTTTCAAACAAGATGAGAGAAACATGGGAGGCTGTGTGCAGTCAACAGTCCTCCTTGCAAACCTGAATTTACCCCTGTGCTAATTTTATAGCTGATGGTAGCCTGCTTCTTGTTGGACATGGTTTACATTAAGAATATGATGGAGGAGGACCAGAACCAAGGAACTCCTGGCTCACTCCAGCCATTCCTCAGCTTCTGCATCCTCTTCTGGGCTTTTGCAGCATATTTCCAGACTGGAAGGGGACCCGTGGGACTAGGATGGCATGGGAAGGGCTGGAGGTTCATTGTTTTCCTGCTGGGGATGCAGGAGGACAGACTGATGCTCCTTTTCCAGTTGGGTCTCTCTCCCTCTGATCCCCCTCCTAGCGCTCTGCTAGGGCTCTCCCAGGTCCCCTTTGGGGTCACTGGGAAATGTGGGTGCTGGTGTGGCACTGCCAGCCCCAGTTCCCCCCTCTCCGGCATCCCCTGGTCCCTCTGCCCAGCCTAACTCCCCGCTCTTCTCTGCTTGCTCCTTTCAGATAATAGACAGCGAGAACGAAGCGCTGCTGGCAGCCCTCACCGAGACTTTGGATGATATACAGGGAGATGACATGGGCCTGACTGCCTTCCGCTCTATGGAAGAGGGGGACACGCTCAACCATGCCTACACTTCGCCTGCCCCCTCCCCCAAACCCACTGCCCCGGTCATGGGAGGGCCACCCCCGGCCCCCGAGTTTGATGAGCTGTCTCTAGTAAGAACCCACTTCCTACTGTTTAAGGTGGATTTGGATGAGCCCCTGATAAGCCGGCTGCATGGGTATGATAGGAAGCAAAGGTCTGAATTTTTTCATTCTAGGCTTAAAACTCTCTTTAACCGTCAATACCAAAGCATATACTTGTATTGTATACGTATACATGTTCTGCATCATTGCTGTCACCTCCATCACCATCCTCATGGGAACAAGCTGTGTGTATACAAATATATATATATATATTAAGGGGGTGGGGGTGGTTGTCAAAGGGGCAATGGCTGCTTTGGCAAGACCCACATCTACTTTTAATGGGATGCATGGATGTGGGGCTGCCTGGGGGTCTCCCTAGCCCCATGCCCATGAGCCATGGTGGCTGCTCTCACCCCACTCTGCCTTGAGGCTGAGCCCCCACTGCTCTCGCAGGAGGGACAGAGGGGGCTTGGCCCAGTGTCTGACAGCCCGTGCCCTCAGCTTTCAGCGGGAGGGTTTGACCCCCCCCCAAGCCTTCCACCACAACTCCCTCAGGGGCTGTGTGGCCTCCAGTCCCTGCTGATTTGGTGACCAGAGCATTGCTTTCGGTTTCCTGCAATATTGGGGCTCCAGCCCCGCTCCCCCTCCCGGCCCAGACTAACTGGCAGCATTTGCTGCAAGCCACCACCATCCCCGGGATGGTCCCCTGGGATAGGGGCACTCAGCCCCACCCCCGGCGATCACAGTGCCCCTCAGGGACCCCGAGCCTGGCCCTAGGGTCTCCCCAAAAGCCGGGGATGTGGCGGGGAGCAGTGACATCCAGTGGTGAGAGCGTGCATTTCCACCGCCCACGCCCTGCGCGGTGGGTATATATCACACACAATATGTATGTGTATATATAGGATGTATACGTTGCAGGGGTAGGGGTAAAAAGGTGCTGGTTGCTTCCACTAACAGGAGCTGCACGCCTAAAGCTGTGGGTGCCCTAATTGATGTTTCTCAGCAGACCCTGACCCAGGCACCCCAATTTCTGTCACCCCTTAAACCCTCCCTGTGCCTGCCCCAGGGCTCCATGCCCACCAGCCAGCACAGGAGCCCCAGATCTGTCTCCTCCGTGCAGTCCCCCGGCGCCTACGCAGCCGTCTTGCTGTTGAGCTGTGTCGCCTTCGGTTGTTAGCGCGACACGGGTGGAATATGAAATGCTGTTGCTGGGTGTGGGGTTTCTTTTTTTTCCTTCCCCTAACCAAAAATGGTTTTGAGCAGAAGAAAAATGTTATGCCAACCTTGCCATCAGAAGTGGTGGCACTGTGGGTCACCCAGGGAGAACCCCGCTCCAACCGCCCGTGGGCCTGACAGAGTGTGTTGGGGAAGATCCTCAACAGGTCCCACAGCTGCAAAACACCTTGAAAACTCATTAATGAGTCGAGGCACTCTCTGGATGTTTTGGCTAAATGAGCCTTGCACGGAGACCCAAGTGAGCAGTCCAAAGCTGTCACTCATGCCAATGCCAAGTCTCTGATGGAGTGAGAAGTTTGGATGCCACGGCAGGTCCTGTGGTCTGACAGGAGTGGGGATGTCCCTGGGCAGTAAATTCCTGTATGTCCCCAATGTTCTGATCTGCTGGGGGGCCCTTGGGGACATGGGTGAATACTGCAGAGATGGCCCTGAACCCCTCAGGGCTGCACGTGGCCGGGTGCTTGCCCCCACAGCCATGAGGAGGTGGGAAATGCTTCCTTGTCTTTTTCGCCCTCGATTTTTGGGTCAGATGCTCAGCAATGGACGTGCCCAGTGCAGGCACGAGCCGAGGGGCTGCTGCCCCGCTGGCACGTTCCTCTTGCCCTCGCTGCGATGCCGACGCCTTTTCTTGCTGCTTCTCTTTGCAGCTGAAGAAGTTGCTCCTCTCGCCGTCACACGTGTCTCTGAGCTGCGAGGCTCAGCGGGACGGGAGCGCCCGGCACCCGGGGACCCCTAAATCCCGACCAGCACGGCCTTGCGCTAAGGTACTTCAGCATTTCTGTCCCTGCCTGTGCAGGGGCTGCAGTCCAGGCTCAGCAAAACCTTCGGGCTTCATGGTGGGCTGAGTAATGTCTCCATCTCATTTGGACCCAGTGGGGTCAGGCCTCTCCCAGCTTCCCCGAGCGCTGGTTTGTGAAAGCTCCGTGTGCTCCCTGACCCCCACCCCGCTGGCTCAGCCCAAGCTGGGAGCCATCGACAAGGGAGAACTGCAGAGCCAACCCCATCACCTAAGCTAACCTCCCGAAATCCAGCAGAAGTTGCCATCAAAGATTTTTCTCCTTGGCTCATGGTAATTGTGCAGTGCATTAGGCCTGGCAAATTAGATTGCCTGGGACGAGCAGCAAATCTCTCCTGGGGAGAAAGAGCATCATTGTGTGGGGGCTGCTGGAGGGGCAGCGGTTGGGCTGGAAACCCCCTGGGGTGTGGGGCTGGCCCCAGGTAGGTTGGGATACTGTGGGGCTGGGACTGAGGGGTTGGAGGATGTGGGGCAGCCCAGGAGGCTTCTCCCACCGTGCTTGGTACTTGTGTCAGGTCATGGCTGCAGTGCTTGGGACTGACTTTCTCTTCTCTCCTCCTCGAAGGTGGAGGGTACCCGGGACAGGAGGGCGAGCATCCCGCAGGCGCAGAGCCGCAGCTGCACCGAGCTGCACCGGCACCTCACCTCCACCGCCCCCTGCTCCCAGACCAAAGTCCTCCGAGCACCTGAGGAGTGCCCCAGCGACCGCCGCCACTCCTCACTGGGTGA